TTCAAGGGCGTCCCTTTTGTTGTGCCCGGAGGTCGATTTAACGAAATGTATGGATGGGACTCGTACTTTGAAACACTGGGCTTGGCCGTTGACGGAAGAATTGATCTGGCCCGTGGAATGGTGGAGAATTTCGTGTACGAGATCACGCACTACGGAAAGATATTGAACGCGAATCGAAGTTACTACCTCACTCGATCCCAACCGCCTTTTCTCACCGATATGGCCATGAAAGTCTATGAGAGATTGCCCGATGACGAAGACAAAGCAGACAAAAAGAAGTGGCTCGCGACTGCCATTCAAGCTGCCATCAAGGAATATCTCACGGTTTGGATGTCGGAACCTCGTTATGACCCTGAAACTGGCCTCTCTCGCTTTTACCCGACCGGTCTCGGCATTCCACCGGAAACCGAGGCTAGTCATTTCGACCATGTGATATTGCCGTACGCAAAGAAGCTTGGGTTAAGCATTAAGGACTATGCCGCGAAATATCAGAACAACGAAATTCACGAACCTGCGTTGGACGAGTACTTTTTGCATGACCGTGCTGTTCGTGAATCGGGACACGACACCACCTACCGTTTCGAGAAGAGGTGTGCCTACCTTGCCACCATCGATCTCAATTCATTACTCTACAAATACGAAATTGATATCGGCGAGATAATCCGGGAAATTTACAACGATCACTTCGAATTGGATGATGGAAGCATCGAGACCAGCGCCACTTGGTTCAAACGAGCAGAGTTGCGCAAGGAAAGGATCGACAGGTACCTGTGGAACGAAGAGAAAGGTCTTTATTATGACTACAACACCGTTACTCGGCAACAATCAGTGTACGATTCGGTCACCGCCTTTTGGGCACTTTGGGCCGGTTGTGCCAGCCAAGAGCAGGCGGAAAAGTTGGTGTAAGTAGATCTTTGTGGTACTCTCGATCATCAACATCGACACCTTTGTGCGTACACTTATCGTCCATTTTATTTCCTAGGAAAATATCCCTTCCTAAATTTGAAGTTCTCGGCGGTCTCGTTAGCGGAACCGAAGAATCCCGTGGTAACATTGCGCTCGATCGACCAAACAGACAATGGGATTATCCATTCGGATGGGCACCTCATCAGATAATGGCATGGAGAGGTTTGGAGAACTATGGTTTCATGACGGAGGCCCGAAGGTTGGCGTATCGTTGGTGTTACACCATCACGAAATCCTT